GCCTGGGCAACAAGAGCGAAACTCCGTCTCAATAAATAAATACATAAAACAAACAAATGAGGATAACAAAACACGTAAGGTAGAAGAGGGTGTCAAATTATTCTAAGGTTCCTGTATTGTGGAGATGTTAACAATTTTAGACTTTGTTAAGTGAGAAATATATATATATATGATGAAAACCTAACAGTAAATCATATGAGAATCAAAGATAAAGAAAGGAAAAAAAGAGAAAAGAAAACAGAATTGGTATAATGGATGGTTAAAAAAAAAAAAAAGCAAGAGAAAACACACTAAATAATAGGATGTACAAAATAGAAAAAAATTCAAATGCTTCAAAAATTAGAGTAAACATAAATGGGATTAAACTTGCCAGTTGAAAGACAGATTCTCAAACTGGATGTAAGAAACTACACCCACACAAAATACATCTATCTATCTATCTATCTATCTATCTATCTACCTACCTACCTACCTACCTATCTATCTACTTATCTACCCACCCACCTACCTACCTATCTACCTAGAGTGCAGGTCTTACTCTGTCACCCAGGCTGGATGCAGTGGTGCTATCATGTCTCACTTCAACCTTGAACTCCTGGGCTCAAGTTATCCTTCTGCCTCAGCCTCCTAAGTAGCTAAGACTATAGGTGTGTGCTCCCATTCTCAGCTAATTTTTCTACTTTTTGTAGAGATGGAGTCTCACTATGTTGCCCAGGCTGGTATTGAAATTCTGGGCTCAAGAGTCTCCTACCTCAGCCTCCCAAAGTGCTAGGATTACAGGCATGAGCAACTGCTGCCTGGCCCTACATGCTATTTATGAGACATATATAAGACAAAAATAAGGACATAGGAAGCTGAAAGCAAACAGAAATAAGAAGCGATACTAATCATAAGAAAGCTGGCATATACGCTTTAATAGTAGACAAAATAATACTCTGAGGCAAAAACCGTTATGTACCATGATAAGGAATAAAGTTTAAAAATAAAGACAGAACATAAAATTCAACAGGAAGTTTTTTTTTTCTTTTTTCTTTGTTTAAAGACAGGGTTTCACTATGTTGTCCAGGCTGGTCTTGAACTCCTAGGCTCAAGTCATCCTCCTGCCTTGGCCCCTGAGTAGCTAGGACTATAAGCATGTGCCATTACTCTGGGCTGGTTTTCGTTTTTTAACCGGGAAGATTTTGTTTGTTTGTTTTCTCTTTTTTTGAGATGGAGTCTCACTCTGTCACCCAGGATGGAGCACAGTGGCATAATCTCAGCTCACTGCAACCTCTGCCTTCCAGGTTCAAGTGATTCTGCCACCTCAGCCTCCTGAGTAGCTGGGACTACAGATGTAGTACAGATGTACAGCCACCATGGCTGGCTAATTTTTGTATTTTTTGGTAGAGACAGAGTTTCACCATGTTGGCCAGGCTGGTCTCGAACTCCTGACCTCAAGTGATCCACCCGTCTTGGCCTCCCAAAGTGCTGGGATTACAGGCATGAGCCACCACACCCAGTCTGTTTTGTTTTTTGGTGTAATAAAATACACATAACAAAATTTGCCATTTTAACCATTTTTTAACTGTACAATTCAGTTGGCATTAAGCACATTCATAATGTTAGGCAACCATTACCAGCATCCACCTACACAACTCTTTTCATCTGAAAAAGTTTCAGTGAAACATTTTACTCATTCACTAGGAAGTTTAGAACACACTTTTATAAGCCTGATCTGATGAACACATGGAGAACCCTGTACTCAACAACTGGAAAATAGACATTCTTTTCAAGATCAAGTTCCCAAAAAAATTAGGTAGGCCTCGGATCTCTCCATAGCTACATTTAACCCTAGAAGACTATGGAGCTACACTTAAAAAAATCCTCAAGGAAAGAAAGCATGATCTAATAGTCAAATGGTTGTTGAAATGTTTAGGCAATAAACTACAACATGCAAGAACTCATCAGGGAATATTGTTCTTATGAGTCTTGTTTGAGGACTTAACTAGAGGACAAGTTCCAGGCAATCAAAAGAGAAGTGAGACAAGGGGCAGTCAGTGGATTGGTAATGAGCACTGGATCTAATAATTACAGGTCTAGAGCTGAAAACCAAAGTAAGCAGTAGGGTAATAGAAGAGAATGTAAATGTTATATGCAGTGACAAGTTAGAAATGATACAACAAAGCCTTCAGGAAGAAGAAGGGGAAAAGAAGGTGGAAGGTAGAATAAGTAAGCTGGTTTCCTCATTTTTTTAATTGCTAGGGGTGGGTGGGGAAATGTCAAAGAATATCATTTAAAGCTAACAAGTCATAGTATAAGCATATTCAAGGTATAACGGCAAACACTAAGACAATACAATCTACTAAAATCAGGTGTTAGAGGAGAGGCAAGGGAGGGAGGAGGAACAAGAAATATACCAATTTCATGACTTCTCACGGTGGGGATTAATAGATGCCATCTAAAGAAATAAATAATGAATAGTAGAGTTAAAAGGCTAAAACTAAAACCATAAGCCAGAACATACATATGAGGGAGAGAAGTCGGGGGATGAATGAGGAGGGGAAAAAGGAGGAGAAGATTTTTTGTAGGCTTTAAAATTGAAAGCCAAGCATAAAGTAATGCCACCCAAACCAAATGTATTTGCATATTAACATATAAATTTACCTATTAAAATAAACCTTTCAGATGACATGACATAGCAAAACGTAACTCAAGATCTATTCAAGAGACACACCAGAAACAAAATACTTTTTTTAAAAGTGGAAAGTATAAGGTGGGTAAAAAAAGTACAGCAACCAAATGTTAAAAAAAAGAAAGCAGATATTTTGATCTTGGTATCAGTCAAGGTTGATTTCAGTCCTCCCACCTCCTGAAAAAAGCTTTTGTTTTTAGAAAGTAGAACAAAAGCGTGGAGAACAAATTTAAGGTAGTTACTAAATAATTATCTGTTCATTAATTCTCAGAAAATTTCTGGAAAATACATATGGAGCTGTTAAGTCACGTGCTGGGGATGCTGAAAGAAATGATTTTTATTCTTTTCCTTAAATAACTCTGTATAGCTTTAATTATTGCTAAGAACATGATTTTACTTTTATATGAAAAAGTAATAAACAATAGTTATTTCATGGAAACTAAAAATTAACAGATTGCATACTCAAAAATATAAACAGGCTGGGTGTGGTGGCTCATGCCTATAATCCCAGCATTTTGGAAGCCTGAGGTGGGAGGACTGCTTGAGCCCAGGAGTTCGAGACCAGCCTAGGCAACAGTAGACTCCGTCTCTACTTAAAAAAATTAAATGAATAAAATAAAATATGAATATTTCCGTTTTTTCCTACATACTAGCAATTATACATAATTATTCCATTTAATTACATATAATTTCTAGAACTGCTCCTAAGAAAATAAACATACAACTTTTCAAAATGCTATTCTAATTCTAGATGACTATAAAAGATTTAGATAAATTTAAGTTAGACATCTTTCATTGTTGATATGGTTTGGATCTCTGTCCCTGCCCAAATCTCATGTCAAACTGCTACCTCCAATGTTGGAGGTGGGGCCTGATGGGAGCTGACTGGATTGTGCGGGTGAAATTCTCATGAATGGTTAAGCCCCATTCTCTTGGTGCTGTTTTCATGATAGTGAGTTCTCATAAGATCTCACTGTTTAAAAGTGTGAGGCCCCTCCCCCCACCTCCTTGCCGCTCTAGCCGTGTGATATGCCTGCTCCCTCTTTGCCTTCTGCCATGATTGTAAGCTTCCTGAGGCCTCCCTAGAGGGTGAGTAGATGCCTGCATCATGCTTCCTGTATAGACTGTAGATCATGAGCCAATTAAGCCTTTTTTCTTTAGAAATTACTCAGTCTCAGGTATTTCTTTACAGTAATGCGAGAACAGACTAATCCAGTGGTGATGCTCTAATATTCAAACAGCTGTTAATATTCAAATTTAGAAAAAAATGCAAGTACCATACAAAGGAAATATACTCACACTTCCCTATAAAATTTCCTAATAGTTGAGGGTTGTCCATTAAAGTAAGTTACGTATTTTTAAGTATTCCTGCTCTTTAAAAGTGTCATAATGTATTTTTGTAGTTTCAAGTATTAAATATAGTTAAACAAGTTAAAAAAATAAATAGTATTAAACATAGAGAACAGTGAATGTCCAATGGTGGAGGCCACCTGATCTGAATTTGTAGAGGGCATTCACCTTCTGACAATTTATGTTTAAAGCAGTGGTTAGAACTAGTTTCCAAGTAATGGTATTTGATCACTTCTCATAATCTATCATAGTTTGCTGTGCACGATGCCTCCTCGCAGTGCAAGTTCATTAACCTAAAGTTAACTTGTTACCACTCGTGGGCAGACTCTGAGCTTCTACCTGGACACAGAAGAGTATGACTTCATATTTATAGCTGTAACACCCATGTGATTTAAAGAAAAAAATCTCCTCTGGCTGAATTTGAGGATTTCAGCTTAAACTGCTTTTTCTCCTTCTCCCCTGCCTCCAATAATTTATGGCTAAATAAGCAGCATAAATTAAACAAAAACCTTTGTAGGTCATTTTTTTGGGGAGGGGTGGGACACACGGTCTCACTCTATCACCCAAGCTGGAGTACAATGGCACGATCATGGCTTACTGCAATCTTGACCTGCTGGGTTCAAGCAATCCTCCCACCTCAGCCTCCCGAGAATCTGGGGCTACAGGTACATGCCACCAAGCTCAGCTAATTTTTTTATTTTTTGTAGAGACAGGGTCTTGCTGTTAGCCAGGCTGGTCTCGAATTCCCAGGCTCAAGTGATCATCCTCCTGTCTCAGCCTCCCAAAGTGCTGGGATTACAGGCATAAGCCAACACAACTGGCCTATATGTCACGTTGTAATTCTCTTTTGAAGAATCGTATCAATAAGATAATAATGATAATTTGTTTTCTATATTACCCAAGTAAAATATTCAGGGTTCTAATAGCACATGTGAATAAGATAGAATACTAAAAGTATCATAAAGTCAAATTCACTTACTTGACATTTTTGACGCAACTGTCGTAGCTCTTTTATAACTGAGGCAAGAGCTGACTTCTTTTCAGATACCAGTGAATTCAGTTTTTTCACCTGTTTTTTAAACAAAAAATGTAACATCTAAAAAAGAATTCAAAAGAAGAAAAATACTACATACATAAAGATACATAATACACTGGAATTAATTTCAGTGTTAAATATGAGTAAAAAACTATAAATTATGTCAGTTCCAAACAACAGAGAAGTGCTTTAGAAAATCCTGATTCCTCAGCAAGGTGGAATACTAGACTATTTAATCATTCAAAATGTCAATTCTCAAGACTGTAAACCATTAGGGGAAAATCTTCATAATCAAACATTGAATAAATAAAATAAATTATAAAATTGCCTTATACAACTCTAATCATGATGTATTATTTATGTAGGCATAAAAATATACACAAATATAGATGGAGTGACATTCAAAACACTACAGTATAGTCCAAATAGCATAAGTAATGATCCATCAGAATGGACACCAGTCAGAGAGATGAACAGGGTCTATTCTTTTTTGAGACAGAGTCTTGCTTGGTTGCTCAGGCTGAAGTACAATGGCGTGATCTTGGCTCACTGCAACCTCTGCTTCCCAGGTTAAAGTGATTCTCATGCCTCAGCCTCCTGAGCAGCTGGAACTGCAGGCATGCGACACCATGCCCAGCTAATGTTTGTATTTTTAGTAGGGACAGGGTTTCACCATGTTGGCCAGGCTGGTCTTGAACTCCTGACCTCAAGTGATCAGCCCACCTCAGCCTCCCAAAGTGCTGGGGTTACAAGTGTGAGCCACCGCGCCCAGCCTATACAGGGTCTTACATGCTAACCTTTTAGGAGTTAGATTGTGATGAGATCCAGAGGGTTCTGGGGGAATGGCCAATGTGGGCAAGGCAACTGGAGGGGGGTACTCTGAGGGTTTGGGGCAGCTATTTACCAACAAGTAATATAAGATTTCAACATTTTAATGCCTGGTGAAAGTGTACTAGTACATCCTGATTAAATACCAGTCCTGAAAATGAAAAGATTCTAAGAACATACACAACAATTAAATAATTCTATTAGGGTGGTATGATCTGGGAAAACTTATTTTTCTTCTTAAATATTTATTTAACGTTATATAACTTTTGCACATTAAAAAAACAGAAAATGCATAAACAATTAGAATTTAAACAACCTTACTAGAATGAAAAAAATTTAAAAGAGATTGATAAAGACAGATAAGGCCAGGTGCAGTGGCTCATGCCTGTAATCCCAGCACTCTGGGAGGCTGAGGCAGGTGGAGCACCTAAGATCGGGAGTTTGAGACCAGCCTGGCCAACATGGTGAAACCTGTCTGTACTAAAAATACAAAAATTAGCCGGGCATGGTGGCACACACCTGTAGTCTCAGCTACTCAGGAGGCTGAGGCATGAGAATCACTCGAAACCCAGAGGCAGATGTTGCAGTGAGCCAAAGTCATGCCACTGCACTCTAGCCTGGGCAATAGAGCGAGACTCTGAAAAAAAAAAAAAAGATGAAAGAATATAATGTGCAGAAATTAACAGGTGGATGTTTCACTGAAAATAAAAACAAAACACCTGCCTTCTAGCTACACAATAAAAGAAAATTTAAATAAAAGTATCATCACCATTTCAGACATATCATCCAATGTTCGTCCTTTCATTTCATCAACTTCACTCTTCAGTGCAGATACTCTTTCTAGCTCTTCCTGGGTGTAACTATATCCGGATATACCCTTTTTCTCCTCCATAGTTTGCTATAAGTGAAAAATAAAAAGGCCACAAAACGTGTCAAAACCTTGCTGGCTCCCATAAGAAATATACAAATTTCATACATAACAAAAAATTGTAAATAGAATTAGTTTAGAATCCTAAAGGACAATCTTCGTGGACTTCAATTATTAGTTCATTCAATTACAAGCCTTTATATATTATAAACCTATGGTATCTTCAGGTACATAGGAAGTATTTCTAATTGTAGACTTTATAATAATGTTATGTACTTAGCACAGAACCTAAAACATAGGATACATTCAATAAACGTTTGATGAAAGAATGAATTCTCAAATGATTAGCTGTACTTGCATTTGTTCATTCATCCAATATTTATTATATATTTAAATGTGCCAAGCACAGTTCTAGGCACCAGGTATACAGCAGCAAATAGAACAGGAAAAAAAGATCCCTTCCCTCACAGAGCTTACTACTGGTGGGAATAAATAAGCAATATGTAAATAAGTAAATAAATAAATATAGTATAACCACAAGGTGGTTAGAGAAGATGATCCCGAGAAGATGACATCTGAGCAAAGCCCTGTAGGAAGTGAGGGAATCAGCAAGTGCAAAAGCTAGGAGCAAACTTGGCCAGTTCAAGAAACAGTAAGGAGGTGCAGTGAGAATAAGGTGGGGATAAAGGAGGGGTTACATGTTGCTCAGCTGGTTTGCTAGGTCTCAGTGTATATCTACTGTTCCTTGCACTCCCTAAAAAGTATCCTAGTTTAGATAATAAGTTATATTGTTATCTTATTTTTAAGCCGATGAAACAGCTTTGTTTTATTTAAAATGAGATGGGAGGCTGTTGAAAGGTTCAGAGTTAGGGCAATTTAAAAATGATCACTTTAACACCCGTGCTGAGATCAGGCTAGGTAGGAGCAGGGAGAACAATAGACAAACCTGCTCAATACAGTTCAAGTCAGAGAAAAGGTAGCCATGAATCAGGGTGGTGGTGACAGAAGTAATGAGAACAAGGTTCTTTTGAAGGCACATCCAACAAGATAATGTGAAAATTAGATTAGCGGACTGTGAACAAAAGTAAGGGATAAAGAATGAGTTCAAGGTTTCTGACCTTGAGAGACTAACAGGATGAATCTTCCATTTGTTGACGATGAAGAAGAATGGGACTAGTTTGAGGAGTGGTCGCAGATCAGCAATTTATTTTGGACATGTTAAAAAATTTGAAATATATATTAGGTATCAAAAATGGAGAGGTCAAGATGCTATATGTGGTAAGACTGGAATTAAGGCCAGGCCTGGTGGCTCACACCTGTAATCCCACCCACTGTCGGAGGCTGAGCAGGCGGATTCCCCTAAGATCAGGAGTTTGAGACCAAGACTTCCTCATCATGCAAAATCTTGTCTCTACTAAAATACTAAAGAATTAGCCAATTATGGTGGTGCACCCTGTAATCCCAGCTACTTGGGAGGCTGGCAAGAGAATCACTTGAACTCTGGGAGTGGAGGTTGTAGTGAGCCGAGATTGCACCACTGCACGCCCCGCCTGGGCAACCAGTGAGACTCCGTCCCTCTAACAAAAAAAAACAAAAACGCGGAATTAGAGGAAATCTAGCTGGAGTATAACATTGTCGGAGTTGTTCACAATATCAAGAGGGGGCTTTACCACACACATCAGACAAGAACTAAGGAAATACCAAGGAGTAAAGATAGAAAGGGAGATCCACAGGCTACTACACCCATAGGGAACCCTAAACATTTAAATTTAAAGAAATGCATAAGACAATCAGCAACCGGAATAGGAATGGATGTTAGGTTTGGAAGAAAAACCAGGGAAGTGTAGTCGTTTAGAACAGACATGTTTTTTATTCTAGAGGCTGAGTGGATCAACTATGCTAATATGCGCTACTAGGTCAAGTAAGAAAAGACTAAAATTAATCATTGGATTTGCAAATGTGAAGGATATTATGACCTGACAAAAGACTTTTTTTTTTTTTTTTTTTTGAGATGGACGTCTCGCTCTGTTGCCCCAGGCTGGAGTCGCATGTGCAATCTCGGCTCACTGCCACCATCCGCCCTCCTGAGTTTCACGCCATTCCTCCTGCCCTCAGCCTGCCGAGTGATGCGTGGACCTATAGCGCACTACTTGCCACTACGCCTGTGGCTACAATTTTTTGTATTCCTTTAGTACGATAACGGGGTTTCACTGTTTACGCCAGGATGGTCTCGATCCTCCTGAATCTCGATCTGCCCCGCTTGCGCTCCCAAACGTGCTAGGATTCACAGGCGTGAGCCACCGTACCTGGGCTCTTTTTTTTTTTCTTTTTTTTTTTAAAGACAAGAGTCTCCGCTCTGATCACCCAGGGTGAGTGCAGGCATGATCGTTGGCCACTGCAACCTCCGACTCCCGGGTTCCTGACCTTGTGATCCACCCACCTTGGCTTCCCAAAGTGCTGGGATTACAGGTGTGAGCCACCATGCACGGCCTGACAAAAGATATTTCAGTGGAATGGTAAGTGTGAAAACTGTATTGAAGAGAGTGCAGAAGAGAATGAAAGAACCAAAAGGAAAGAAAGACGAGGAAAGGCAGAATGGAAGAAGAGTTAAGATTTTGGCCTGTCAGTGGGACTGGGACCTAAAGAGAATCAGCCCCAAATTCTGTATGCAGTTTCCTCTTTAGGCATTACCAAATCTTAGGATATGCACAAGCAGAGTAAGACTCTCAAAAACCAAGCGGGAATCAGCAGATGGGTTATTAAAGAGCTGAGCAAAGATTGTAGCAGTCTCACAGTACTAGAGAGATAAAGGTAGGAATTCAAGACTTGCCAGGGTGCACCGGCTTTGGTAAATGCCTCACATTATCAACTGAAAACCTAGAAGGTCTACTCCTTAGAAGGGCTATAACCTAGGAGTAAGACCTACATCCTTGGAGTAAGGACCACTTCCTAAAGTCTCTACCACAAGTATAAGAACTGTATCTTTGGATTAAGAGAAAACTGGAGAAATACCAGCTTAAGGAAAAAAAAAAAACAAAAAAACCTACACTCAACTTGATCAAGGTAACTTTCCAGAAAAAAATTAAATCCTCCTTATAGAAAAACAAATATAGTCAGAGCTTCTAAAATTTAAAGACACTTTATACCCAACATTCAATAAAAAATTAAAAACAAATATAGTCAGAGCTTCTAAAATTTAACAACACTTTATACCCAACATTCAATAAAAAATTAAAAACAAATATAGTCAGAGCTTCTAAAATTTAATGATACTTTATACCCAACATTCAATAAAAAATTAAAAACAAATATAGTCAGAGCTTCTAAAATTTAACGACACTTTACACCCAACATTCAATAAAAAAATTACTAAGTAAGCAAAGTAATAGGCCCAAATGAATGAAAATCAACAGAAAAAAAATACATGGCCAGGAACAGTGGCTCACACATGTAATCTCATCACTTTGGGAGGCCGAGAAGGGCAGATCACTTAAAGTCAGGAGTTCACGACCAGCCTGGCCAACATGGTGAAATTCCGTCTCTACTAAAAATACAAAAAAATTAGCCGGGTGTGGTGGTGGGTGCCTGTAGTCCCAGCTACTCAGGAGGCTGAGGTGGGAGAATCACTTGAACCCAGGAGGCAGAGGTTGCAGTGAGCCAAGATCACACCACTGCACTCTAGCCTGGGTGATAGAGTGAGACTCTGTCTCGAAAAAAAAAACAAAAACAAAAAACAGACAACAGAAATAGGTGCTCAAATAAATTTCAGACATGAACTTTAAAATAGCTGTGATTAATATATTCAAGAAAATAAACAAAAAGTTGAAGAACGTTACAAATAACTGCAATCTATAAAATTGAATCATATGGAAATTCTAAAACTGAGAACTATAATAATTGATATTAAGAATTCAACAAATGAATTAAATAACAGATGAGACACACAAAAAAGAAGAAGATTAATCAACTGGAAAATAGCACAGTAGAAAAAAATACAGATTGAATCACAGAGAGGAAAAAAATAATAGAAAATGAAAAAAAGAAAAAGAAAAACACTAAGCCCATAAGAAATACATGGAAAATGGTGAAAATGTCCAACATGCATGTAGTTGGAGTTAAAGTGAAAGAGGACAGAATAAGATTGTAGTAATAACTGAAGAAATACTGGGCTGGGCATGGTGGCTCATACCTGTAACCCCAGCCTTGGGAGGCTGAGGCAGGTGGATCATTTGGACCTAGGAGTTCAAGACCAGCCTGGAAATCATGGCAAAATCCTGTCTCTAAAAAACTACCAAAAATACACACACACACACACACACACACACACACACAAAGGCTGGGCATGGTGGCTCAGGCCTGTGGTCCCAGCTGCTTAGGAGGCTAAGGTGGGAGAATTGCCTGAGCCCAGGAAGTCGAGGCTGCAATGAGCTGAGATCACACCACTGCACTCCAGCCTGGGGAACAGAGTGAAGGACAAACTTGTCTTGTAAAAAAAAAAAAGAAAAGAAAGGACTAAGAGAAAGAAAGACGTAAATAAGCCGGGCCGCGGGTCCTTTCAAGCCTGGTAATCCCCAGCACTGTTGGGAGGCCGAGAGCGGCGGATCACGAGGTCAGAGATCGAGGAACCATCCTGGCTTAACATGGCTGGAACAACCCCGTCTCGTATAGAAAATAAAAAAACAGCGGGCGAGTGGCCAGGCGCCTTGTAAGTCCAGCTCCTCGGCGCGAGCGCTGAGACCGGACCGACATGGCGTGAACGCCCGGGCAGGCGGAGTTCGGCCAGTGGGAGGCCGCCACCGTGCCCTCCAGCCTGGGCTACCAGGCAGGCGAGCAAACCCCGTCTCAAAAAAAAAAAAAAAAAAAAAAGACTAAATAAATAATAACAACCTGGCTGGAAGAACTTTTAAAAAATGAACAAAGACATCCAGCCACATATTCAAGAAGCTTCACAGACCCTAAGCCAGGTGAATAAAAAAGAAAATCATACCTAGAAAAGTCATAGTAAAACTACTGAACAACCAAACACAGAG